TAATGCTGAAATTTCCCGTTACAAAAGCAAATGATGTTACAGGTAATCACTCCCCTTTCTTCAAAAAAAAGACGGGAGGAATCGTAAAGGACAAGCTTTAATCATATATCCGCTTCCTCTTCAAAAGGGTCGGCAACAATAAAATCGACCCGATGAGGAACAGTACCACCAATGTCTTCAAATCGTATAGATCTTTCACCAACTTCAGTTCTCCAACTGCAAGCCCAGCCTAACACAAACAAAATTAGCAAACGCAAAAGTCACATCAAGTGCGTGGATCACATAAATTTACTACACGAAGCTAGAAACAGCTTGATGAAAACAGATAAAAAAGTGATCTTACTCTAATAGTAATATAGGAAGCTGGAATGAGGCCAACAACAGTTGCTAGAAAGAAAATATGAAATGGTATGTCCACAATTGGCGATGCCAAATTGATGAACAGTTTTGGCAGTGTCGGTGTTACTCACAGAAAGAGCATGCAATTCAACAATTTCTCTCTCCTCTTTGCTATCTAAAAAAAAAATACACTCCCATTGTTCTCCAACTCTTCAGAAAAAAAAAAAAAAAAAAAAAAAAAAGAACAGAAAACAACAAGACGGAAAAAATGGTACCTCAGCCTGGAAAAATCTGTGTTTTTCAGGCCACAACCAGTTGACAATAGGTATGCTAATGAGTTTGGACAGAAAATAGCAGCAAGATGCCCCAGCAGTTGCATTGAAGACAACAAAGAAAAGACCTCTTACGACACCAAAAAGTGCTCCAGCGAATAAGGACATGAAAATAGTGTCGGGGATCATGAATGTCTGCATGAATATGTAAGTCGAGCAGTAACCAAGAATGAACTTAGCCGGGTACATTTGGTGTAACGCCCCACTTTTATTTGCCAAAAAACAGAATAAAATTTTTCAAATTTATTTCGAAACAACTGAGGCGCTACCCCTTTTTAAATCGAACTTCAATATTTAACCATTTTTTTTTCAATACTCGATCATTCATCAGACTCAATCATCAATCGTCAACAATAATATTAACTCCAAAAAAAACGAGTTTACTAAAATTTCAGAAATCATCACCCAAACCGGGTTCCAACAATATCCACAAATTTTAAGGAGCATCTCCTTAACATTATTCAAGTCATAAAATCCAATATTCATAAATGCAATAATACTCCAAATTCATAGTCATAAAATCCAGAATTCATGAATGCGGAAGCTTAACAAATAATAAGACCGGTCATATAGACCGACCACCACTCGCTCTACTCCGCCATCGTGCCTGCCTCGTTTAACCTGAAACGTGAATTTCAGGTGGGGATGAGCATAGTAGGAAAGAGTAGTGCTCACCACTATGCATTAAACGTTATTCATACTAATGAAACAATAACCAATAATCAGTAAGGTATGGTCGCA